CAGGTTGGCATGGCTTGGTCAATTTTGGTGCATGGGTTCAATTTGGGTGAAATTGGCTTGAAGTTGGGCTTGGGTTAGGCTAGCCAAGACATTGGATTCAATTTATTGATCAAGATGGTATAGATGATTGTCAATTTGAAGGATTTAGAAAAGATTTGGATTGATTTTGAATTGATTTGGAGGTTCAATTTGAAGGATTTTGGACTTTTGATCAATTTTGGGCATTTGGTTTTGATCAATTTTGTTTTGGACTTTTGATCAATTTTGGGCATTTGGGTTTGACTTGAGTTTAGGTTAGGCTAGAGTTGGGATAATTCCAAATTGGGGATTCCAAATGGTCTAGGGGGATGTTATAAAGAGTTCTCAACATTAATTGGGTGCTAATTTTGGGATTTGGGCATTGAATTTGGTGATATATTGAGACATGGCTAAACTGGGGTAAAATTGGGGGTTTTGGTCCAAGTTGTCTTTGAGTAAAATTGGGGCTTTACCAAGGATAATTGAAGCTTAAATTTGGTGTTTGAAAGTGTTTTGAAGAGTTTATGATGCAAAATTGAGGCAATTGGATAGATTTGGGGTTCAATTGGGCAAGATTTTAATTTTGGGTCAAATTGGGTTTTTTTGACATGGGCTAAAATTTGGTTCCAATGTGGATCAATTGGGTTTGTATTTGGTTTGTATTGAGTTTAATCATGATTAATTTGAGTATATAATTGAAATTGGTGAGAATTGTGATCAAATTGGTAGACATTTTGGGTGAATTGGGGTAATTGGGCCTTTAAAGGCAATTTGGGGCTTTTGGTTAAAATGGGTCAAAATGGTCAAATTGAATTCAATTAAAGGTCAAATTTTATTTTTGGAACATTTGAAATTATTTTGAAGGTTTTGGGGAAGTTTGGGGCTCCAAGGGTATTTTGGTAATTTTGACAATTTGAGGGGTATTTTGATAATTTTGGTAATTTTGGGAGGTTTTGGGAAATTTGGGTAGTTTGAAACAGTTTGACATGATTTTTGGACAAACTTGGGTATTTTGGGTAATTTTGGAAGTTTTGGAGTTTCAAGGGTAATTTGGCAAATTAGGTAGATTTGGGGGCAAAAGGCTAAGTTTGGTATTTTGGTGAAAGTGAGGTGCCAACCACCCTATTTGATCTATGGACTAATGGAATCTTCTACTTTTGGTCCTCCATGTACTAGTCTTAGCTATACCCTAGCATATAACTAGTGGGTGTAGGGGACTATCTACATGAGTCTCTCAAAGGCCTAGGCTTAAGGTAGTGAGTGGAAGTGTAATGTGCAAGTGTGTGAGTGAGAGCAACCAAGACCACACCACCAGACCCTAAGACCAAGCAATCCTATGGGAACTCATCTTGAGCTCCCCTATAGTGGTCCCACCTACTAAGTGCTAGAGGTTGGACCCAGTATGTGGAACTTCAAGTTAAGCAAAGAAGAGTTTAGAATTTCTAATGGTGAGGGTTATTTTCTATTCCTCTAGGAATAGTCAACAGAAATGTCCTATGGCTAGACCCTAGCTACTAAAGAGGAAGCTATACCTCAACCAAAAGTGGACCTCAACTAAAAGTGAGGTCAACACATATTTATAGTATCTCATCCATATTCCATTTCTCATTTCTTTTGGGTCTAAAACATGCAAACATAGGTAGACACAATGTCATTTGATTAATCTCATTCAAAAGTGGGATGGCTCCAGCTCGACTTAGCTCTTGAAACAATCAACTTGTTTTTTTAGTAACGCAATTTTTCATACATACCACATAATTTTATATATTTACATGTTTAACATGTAATATTTAATTTCACATCGATAATATTTCGATTTTGTAAACTTATGGATGAAATGTTAGTAATAAAAATAGTTTTGATATAATGATTAAAATTTATGTATACTGCATATGAATATCAAATTTTAGAGCTTATATGTGTAAATACATAATAATGTTGTTCTACGTAAAGTGCCCCACTTTTTTATGAAAAATTCTCTCAATCAGCAACGCAAGGTGATAATATAAGTTTGATTAACTTTCATGAACAAGTGATTGTGAACCTTGAATTAAAAATGCATATTCTATTGGTCCAATCGGGCACATTATTCACCATCTTTATGTATTTACATATCTCACATCTATATTTTTCTATTTGGACATATATAAAATTTTGGTTTTAAACTGATGAGAGGTATTTCATTTAAAAAAGTATGAAAATTTATATGTGACATATAAAAAATCACAGGCTATGTATGTAAATGTCCCAAATTGAAATGATTTCCTTAGTTCGCCTAAAATAAATTTCTGAATTCCTATCTTAATTTTTTGTCGAGGCGATAATCCCAAGTAATTCAAGATACAATTCCTTGTGATTAAACAATCTCCCATTACCAATTACAATTTACTATCTTTTGTTTTGTCTGCTCAAAATTATATTCCTTTCGAGTTCTTAAAATATATTCAAATGATTTTTTTTTCCGTATATGGATGAATTGTTTTTTCTACTGTTTTATGTGAATTTGCTATCATTTGAATGGAAAGTATTCTAGGGAAGTGAGAATCCTTGATTTATGATAAATGAGAGGATTTCTAGGAAGAGTTTGCAATAAAGAAGGGATGGTGGAAATGGACGGCATTTTGTAATATAGAGTGAGATAAAACAAATTAGAAAGTTCCATTAATTTTTTTATTGAATTAAACTTAATATTAATATATGTATTAAATTCTTTTAATGCAACAAGGAAACTTAATTATTGAAAAAACAATGAAATTATTTGAAAACTACAACAAAAGATTGGATACTTATAATCGTTTTTTTTTGCGTGACAGAAAATTTATTTGAGACGGCAATATTGATACATATTAGATAGGACTAATTAGAGAGTTGAATTCATTTTTATTCAATATTAAATTTTAATAATGTCAAATTGAAATTTTCAACTTTTCAAAAGCGTCGGAAAGTCTTAACACATTTCAAATTTCCTCGTAGGTTCTCCCCATCATCTCCGATTTTTTCTCTGGGGATTGGGAGTATATCTCCGACATGAATTTTACTGATATTCCTACGGAGAAGGAGATCTTGATGTTTAAAGAGATAAATATTGACAAGGCTCCTGGTCCTGATGGTTTTACTGCTTCTTTTTATGTTTTTATGTTACTTGTTGGGAGATTCGTTAAAAGAGAGGTAACTCAAGCTATTCAAAGTTTCTTCCGGGAGAAGGATAAAGGGAAATATTAACTTCTTCTCTTATTGTGCTTATTCCTAAAGGTAACGATATGTTTAGCTGGGATAAGTTCAGACCCATTTCCTTAGCTTCGGTGATCTCAAAGGTCATAAGTAAATTGTTGGTGTCTAAATTACAACCTTTGCTGAACAATATTATTTCTCCTCAGCAATTTGCTTTTACTAGAGGAAGGGAGATTGCTGAAAACATTCTTCTTGATCGGGAGTTAGTGGAGGACCTTGATAGAAAATGCAGGGGTGGCAATATGGTTATTAAACTTGATATTAAAAAGACTTACGATACCATTAGTTGGGACTTCATTTTAAACATTTTGCAGGCCCATGGTTTTCAGAATAATTTTTGCTCCTTGATCGGCCAATGATTGGAGAATAAACACTACTCTGTGCTTGTTAATGGTGACTCATATGGTTTCTTCTCTGCTTCAAGAGGTATTAAGCAAGGAGACCCTCTTTCACCCACTATTTTTATTTTAGCTTTTGATTAATTTTTCCATTTAATTAACCGTCTGCGGATGGATAAGCCTTATATTCAATTTTCTCAAAAATCATCGATTATGGTTAGTCATTTAGTTTATGCTGATGATTTCATTCTTTTTAGTAATGCTAGCAAGCCTGCTATTAAGTCTCTCATGCACACCATTGAGACTTTCCAAAGTATCTCTGGCCTTTCCTTTAGTAAAGACAAATGCATTATGTACTTTGGGAAAGCTGTTAAAACCTCCATTATTAATTGGAGTACTGCGTTTACTGGTTTTCATGTTGTCTCTTTGCCCCTTAACTATTTGGGTGTGAATGTGTTTAGGGGTCGCCGCAGGCAAGTTCAATTAGATAATGTTGTTGACAAGATCAAACATAAAATTAATGATTGGAGGAATATTTTCTTATCTAATGGGGGGCATATCACCCTCTTTAGAAGTGTTTTGTTGAGTATCCCATTATATGCACTTCATATTTTGAATCTCAAGAAAAGCACTCAGGTTTTGTTAGAAAGAATTTCTAATCTTTTTCTTTGGTCTGGTACGCATGCATCTATACATTGGGCTACTTTCTCCAAAGTTTCTAAGCATATTTCTGTTGGGGGTCTCGGCTAAAAGAGTTTGAATCAAATTTTTGATATAAGTATGTGTAAACTGTGGTTTAAGTTTCAGGCTAATACTTCTTTATGGGCCCATTTCATGCATCATAAGTATTGTAATATTTCTAATCCCACTACTGTTAATTGGAAAGTGGGGGACTCCAGGATTTGGAAATCCATTCTGAAAGCCCGTACCGTTGCTAGCAGATTTATTTTTTGGGATATTGGGGAAGGTAAGATCTCTTTTTGGCATGATCAGTGGGGTTTGGGTGATCAAGGTTTGGATGATCAAAATTCATATGCTCATACTCCTCATAACAACAATTTACTTATCTTGGATGTTTGGACTGATGATAATTAAGATATTAATAAGTTGTTGTCTTTTGTTGGGGATAATAAGGCTCATGTGGCTAAGATCCCTAAAAAGAAGACAACTAAAGACACCCCACTTTGGAAAACTTCCTCTACTATTTCTCCTTCTAAAATGCTTTACTCGAATCTTTATAGCTTCGATAAGTGGAGGCGGGGGAAATTTATTTGGAACAATTTTTTTACTCCTTCCATTTTCTTCCTTTGGAGATATATTTATAATATGCTCCCTTTTGATGATATTCTTAAACTTAAGGGTCTCAAATTGGCTTCCTAATTTTGTTTATGTAAAACGGAGGAGGAATCAGCGATGCATCTTATTTTTCAATGTTCTTATGCTAAAGAGGTTTGGTATGCCATTGGGCAATATTTTCATATTAACTGGTGTGATTCTAATGAGATTGTCGACTTTCTCCATATTTGGAGAACTGCTGATATTGGGGATTCTAAATTGGCTTTGTTCCCTATGTTGGTGATTTGGTTTATATGGGTGGCCATAAATGATCATAAATATCAAATTTTGGATACGGTTCCTTCTACTTCGATTTCTCACATTCTTGCTTACTTCACCATGGCTTGCCGTACTTTTGGCTTTAGTGGTAATTCGGCCAATCCTCGGGTGGGTAGGATGGCCACTCTCACTAAGTGGCAACCACCTCCCATTGGTTGGATTAAAGTTAATTTTGATGGTAGCTGGGTCTCCTCGGCGGCAGGGGCTGGTGGTGTTTTTCGTGACCACCTTGGGAAGTGCCTCTGTTTCTTTAATTCTCCGATTGTGGCATCCTCTCCTTTGGAAGCTGAGTACTGGGGTTTTCTGCTATCTTTTCGGGTTTCCATTTCTTGTAAATTTTCGCAATTATTGCTTGAGACAGATTCTCTCACTATTTACAAGGATTTTGGTTTGACAAATATGTCCAAGTGGAATGTTTTGGGGATTTGGAATAGAATCAAAACACTTAGTGAAAAATATAATTTGTCTATTGTTTTGAGTCATGTTTTTCAGGAAGGAAATTCTCCCGCGGATTGGTTGGCCAAGCCGGGTAAAGTTCTGGGTAACCTTATTGTCGATGTTTCACCACCGCACCACTTAAAGAGGCTTTTACACAGTGACTCTTTGGATTTTCCTTTCGTCAGGAGATAATTTTTATTTTGGTACATTTGCTGGTCCTTGTGGTTGAGGCACTTTATTATTTTTTGATGTATTTTATAACTTTGGATTCTATGTTTTATGGTATATTTTTGGATGGTTTTCCCAATTTTGTTCTAGCAAGATGGATTTTTAGGAGGAATTAGTTATGGCTTTACTTTTGTTGGAACTTAATGGGGGTTTCCTCCCCCATGAAGGACCTATTCATGTAATACATGGGTAATCATTTACTGTTATATCTTTTATGCTCTCTCGATTTGGAGCCCATCCTTTGGAAGCTTGTGCCTTTCAAACTTTTTTGCAGGTTTCGGCTTGGGGTTTTTTACCTCGATTATTTTTGGGTGAAAATTTGCTTTGCTTGGAGTCTTTTGTTTACTTCTTCATGTGGGGATGATTTGGTTAAATTATGGTTTCTTGGATGTATTTGGCTAAGCATGAGGGGATTGATTTGCAATATTCATTGGTGTGGCTTTTTTCTTTCTGGATATACCTTCATAGTTTATCTACCCTTCCAGTTTTTTCTTTTGGGTTTTGCAGGTTTCCTATTTGCTTCATCGGGCCGGCTCGAGATTTTGCTCAAACTTTATTATATGGAGACGGTGATTATCTGTTTGCTTTACTGTAGATCTTCCTATGCTTCTAGTTAGCATTTCTCTTTTGGGTTGCTTGTATTTTGCTTTCTTTTTTGTGTGGCTTTGTATTGTGGACTGTGGATTTTGGAACCCCTATGTTTGATGTATTTCATTTTGATTTTAGATGGAGACCCACTATCCCTCCCTTATTTTATAACATTTCTGTGTATTAACGCGTAAGAAGCCACGAGTTGCTCTTTATATATACATATATAAACATATTACATGTATATATCTATATACATATATATATATATATTATGAAAAGAGCAACTCGTGGCTCCCTACATGTTAATATAAATTGAAAGTACAAAAATGAGGGAGGGAAGGAAGATCTCTATCTAAAAACAAAAAGAAATACATTAAGATCCTATAGGTTCCTCTTTCCATATTACAACTCCACGCCAAAAAATTGTAAGAAAAGGAATAAAAATATTGTATACTCAAAAAGTACATGAGATCCAGTACACCAAAAGGAAAAAGTATACCCAAAATTGACATGTACATCAAAACCCAAAATGAGATCCATAACAAGGCCTGAGAGATTAGAAAAGGCATAAGACATCTCCCAGGTCACATCCCCAACAAATAACTGCAAACTCCAATATTATCTGAGGATGAAACCCCATAGGAAACCTTGATCGAGCAAAGGGGAATGAGTCATCAGCAACAATCCAACGTTCCAGACGGCAATATCAGAGGACCCCATATTCCTCATTGCAGACTTGCATAATAAGAAGCAAGAAGTACCTAACAAAAAAACTGCAAACAAAACCTTCAAGCACTACACCAGGTGAGAAATACAAAGACAGTATTAGTAGTGAAACTTTCAAAAATGACAAAGTGAAATAAAAGCAAGCCAGATAGAAGAATCCTCCAAATTGAACATTGATATGAGACTGCTTGACAACAAACCTTGAACAAAACCAATAAGAAGCCAACATCTCAACTTCTCAAATAAGGAGTGCCCAGCATATCACTAAGCAAGTAAGTTTTAAGAGTAGGAGGGGTAATACCAACCAAGACAACATGAATTTTCAACTTAGAAAGCCAATCAGTAAGACTGTTCCCCACTCTTAAAGTAAAGTTAAAAAGAATTTGAAGTTGATTTCTATTTAACTCATTATAAATGCGGTATAATAAACATGTTAAATACCAGACAAGCTAGGTTTTCTTGATGATGATATTGTAAAAACTGTGTGCCTCAATCTCAATAATAATATACCTAAGCAGAAAGGACACAAATACCATTAATGCCAACAAAAAAATATAGCATTCAGCCTCATCATATATATTGCTTCTTCATTGGTGGAATATTCACAGGGAGGGGAATCAACTTGCTAAATGGTTGGTTATATCCTCTACTACTTCTAAACAAGTTATCTGTTGTAAAGGTTATTTTGGTTTTTTGAAAAATTTACTTCATGGAGATTCCCTTGATCTCTCTTTCATTTGATATAACTAATTTTTGTGACAATATATTTTTGGTTTTTTGGTCCAATATATATATATATATATATATATATATATATATATATATATATATTTTATAAGAAACCATATCTTATTGCTGCAATTAACCCAAAGGTCAAAACCAAGGAAAGTTTTTTTGATTTATTAGAGCTTTTGTGAACCAAAGGTTTCAAGATGGCCAAACACCAAATTTTTTTATACCAATTGAGATATTGAAGTCTTTTTAAAAAGTGCGGGTGGGTAATCACCCTAATGTTCCAACATAAGAGATTAATCATGATGAGAGGGTTTGCATTTACCCCTAGTGAGTTTGGTCAGGGACTCCCTTCTAATCGAATAAGAGCATCCAACTTCAATGGTAAAAGTATCATCCAAGGAGGTTTATCCCTCAATCTGACTTTTCTTTTTTCTTCTTGCTTTCTGAATCTGCCAATCAGCCTCTAGTTATTGTTGCATCACAACAATAGGAACATTGGTGGAGTCAGGTAGAGCAGTATGTTGTGGATCCTTTGTCTGATCAGCCTGAATTGGGAGATCTTGTAAATCAGCCATTGCAACCTCAACAAATGAGATGATGCTTGTTTCAAAAGTGGTACAAATGTTGTCTACTTGCTCTAACAGAAATTGCTCTCCACGATCAGTAGGCTCAACGCTGAGGCCCTGATCTGCCACAGTAGGTGCAGGAACATCAACTTGTAAAGGCACAGGCAAAAGCACAAGTAGAGGAAGATTTGTATCAGGGACCAACTTTGTATTCTTACCAGGTTTAAGTGATAGATGGAGCCTAAAACACCTCTCCTCAGTATGGCCAAATATTTTGCAATGGGAGCAATTATATGGCTTTTGCTCCATAAATATAGGTTGCTTTATTGTTAGTGCCTAACTATACTTCATCAATTGAGGGAAGAGTAATGTCCCTCTCCACAAGAATTTGAGCTACAGAGGGTTTGGACAAATTGAAAGTGGAAATATCAAGTTTCATAGGCCTACCCAGTAGTGCACTAATAGAAAATAGAACTTTATGGTTGAAAAATTGAAGCAACAATCAAGGGAGCTTAAACCATATTGGGATAATGGGGAGCTCTTTACCAGGGTCGAACTTCGGTGTCCATTTCAGCAACTTCATCTGAACACCTTCAATGGTGATGAGCTTTTTGGAGAATACTTGTGCATAATCTTCTTCATTGGTCAGTTGGATCATTACATGTCTGTCATCGAATAAACCCACCTTCCAGTGACTAGTAAGCTTGAAATTCTCAAAGGTTTTCCTGATTAGGTCCATATTAGAGTGACCCAGTTGAAATTTACCAATCAGTGTAATTTTGCATTTAGTGGAGAGGTCAAAAAATTCAGTTTCAGAGAAGATGAGGGCATATTTACCCTTTTTTTTTAGCCTTTCTTGAACACGTAGCTTTCCTCATCCCAAACCAAAGCATCATGTTATGATCAAGGGAATACCAATTTATCACCCAACAATCCAGTGGAAGATGTAACAGTAGCATCAGAGATTTTTCCCACATAGTTGGGGTCAGCTTGTTACAAAGATACATCCATAATCAATCAGGAAGAACAAAGAGCAAAGAGAACCCGCAAGAAGAAGGAAAAAGCCAACCGAGAAATAACCAACTAATGGAACAGTAACAAAACCAAATCAAAAAAAGAAAAGCCCAAGAAACATAAGAACACAATATCAACACTCCAACAAGGAAATAAAGTACCCAAATCACTAAAAGAAGCTCCACCAAAGACACTTTGAGCACTAAAAACTACTACAGATGAAGGATGAAGGAGATGCGTAGCCATGGATACCAAACCCTAGAAGAGCAAAGTTAGACGCCATTTATATATATACTGGTCCAATATATATATATATATATATATCAATCCCTACAATGAAGATAAGGAATGGGCAAATTGTCCCCATGTAGAAGGAGAGTTAGTTGAGCCGGTGGTATAGTCCCCACTTAAATCAATTTTTTGTTCCTCCCCATTACTGCCAAACAATGTGCTGGATTGTTGCCTTCTCTAAGGATGTGTTGGAATTTAACTTTAACATTGTTCAAAAGACACTTAATTTTATTAATCCATCTGATAATATTCCAGGGGGGAACCTCTTCTTGTTTAAGTATTCTGATACAGATGCTGGAATCAGATTCTACCACCAAATTTGTGATGTTGCAGTGATGGGAAAGGTATATAGCCCACTAAATGGCTATCATGTCAGTTTTTAGTGCATCATAAGTCCAAGATGAGGAGAAGTAAAGAATACACTTTCCTTGAGAGTTTCAAACAATACCTCCAACACTAGAAGAATCCTTAGAGAAACTACCATCAGTATTGACCTTCAGCCACCCAAGAGGAGGAGAGATCCAAAGGACCAAAGTTGGCTTACAAATCTGCTTGACTGTCTCATCAGGCACCCAATTGAGGAAAACATTGGAAAATTTCTGGTATTTAATGATTTTTTGCAAATAGGAAGTACAATTAAAAATCACAGACTTTTCCATAGCTTTGAGACTTTTCCATAGCTTTGATGTTTCCATAGCTTTGATGTTGTAAAACTTTGCTTCATTTCTACACATCCAGATGAACCACACAACAATACAAGAAATGATTATCAAATTAGCTTCCAGCCAGTCCTTCCAACACCACAAAAATTTATCTCAACTCACTTTTAGAGTATCAATGTTGAGCTGAATCAACAGCTCAGTCCAAATTCTTTGGGAGAACTTGCAAGAGAAAAACAAATGGACTAAACTTTCTTCTTCATCATTACACAGGCAGCAGCATGAAGGTCCTCTAAGCCCTTTCATCTTCAGAATATCATCACTAGGTAGTAAAGATTGCCAAAGCCTCCAGCAAAAAAGAGAACAAAAAAAAGACATAGAA